TTACTCCAATATCCTGAACCAACCGGCAAGCCAATTTACCAGTTTAACCGGTTCATATTGATCTTAAGCAGTTTAAACACCTGAAGGATATTTTTTGTAGCTAATTGGATCGTGTTTATAAGTAGTCAGTGGTTTAATTAGCTGGTCTGGTGTAGGGATGGCAATATCTTTTGAAACCAATGGAACTCTGCAGGAATCTCTACTGTTAGGTGAAAATTCAAAGAATATTCTTCTTTGTGAAGTGAGGATGAAAGTAATTTTTTCTTGTAAAATTTTGCAAAAAATTTTCTTCACCCATGGATCCCCATGAGAATTTGTATATATATAAGAAAAAAAATATAAATTTATATTTTTATAAATTATAATATTTATAAAAAAATTTAAACCTAATTAATTTTTACCTAAACTAAATTGTCCAGCTTAATTCCTCCTCCGATCTTCCCAAACCCAATTATTAGAACTTTTTGCAATGATATTTGCATATGTAAAGTGCATATTTTACATCTTTTTTACCTTCGGTTGCTGCAATTCAATTTCAGGTAAAAAATAGTTATTTTAAATCACGTAAAATTAAATGAGTTATTTGATTCATTTTAATTGGTAATTGGAAAATGTCTTCATAAGAACCTACCCCCACCTTATTCAAATTCCAAATGAAATCAAATGCAAGTGTTATGTTCGGCCCTGGTGCTTGTGAAATTTTAGAGTATTTGTGAAATTTTTTGCATATCTTTTTCTTTTGCATGTTTTTTTTTTTTTTATACCCCATAAATTACCCTTTTTATATATAATGTTATAAAATTTATTTAGCAAAAAAATGAGGTTGAATTCTATAATTTTAATATTCGATAGGAATTTTGCATACTCACAAGGATCTCTCATTCCTCACAGAGATGGAGACAAAGGGCATTTTTTGTCCCCACCAATAATTTCCATAAGGATTCTCATATCTTCTATTGATAGAAACATGAATAGAGAGGGGTCTTTACCCCTGTGAGAACCTGTTGCTATCTCTATCTCTAGTATGGTGTGGTTGTAGGGAGCCATTGCTATCCTAATATGGTGTGGTTATAAAAACATTGATGTACGGTATCCAAAACTGGTGGCATAGAGGTAGATTATCTTAAAACAAGCTAGACTAAGTAACACGTGGATTTCTTTAATTATATATATATATATATATATTTGAAAAGCAAAGAAATTATATTATGTGAGTACAAGGGGTACTCAAACCCTTAAACATCAGTGTGTAAAGCTATAGGTAGAATTGTGGACTAAATACAAAAAGCCAAAAAATACTCCATAATAAGACACTTGGACTCCAGTTCCCCTTGTAGCTTCTATTTCCTATTAGTCAGACATCTCACTGGATTAGAAATCCATTCCAAGAAAGAAAAGTCTAGGTTCAACATAGTTCTAACCCAGTGAAATGAGCGGCTTTGTACAAGTTTAAACAGCTTGTCTTCATTAATCTTCTTGTGCTGAAAAGCAGTTTCATTTTTATTCAACCACAATGACCACACTATGGTAAACCATAACATGTTCCAACCCTTTTTTAGAGTCCTTGAACCCTTGTGCCATCTGTTCTGGTTGAAAACATCAAGACAAGTATTCCCAAGTACGTAATGTAATCCCCACCAGTTGAGACATTTTGTCCATAATTTGAAAGAGATGTTGCAAGACACAAAAATGTGATCTATATGTTCAGGGGATTGATCACACCAAAGACACTTTATATTTTCGTTTCCATCTAAAATCCCACGCATTGCCAAGTTAACCTTTGTAGGGATTCTATCTAATAGCAATTGCCATGAAAAAGCACTTACTTTTGATGGAACTTGTGCACTCCATAGTTTTCTGTACTCCATTAGCCTGTTATCCTCTTTCTTTAATTTTAGATATTAATTTTATATACAAATTTAGTAGTATATGAAGGTTGATTGATAAATTTTTTCAATTAAATAAAATTATTCAAGAAAAAAAATAAAAAATTTTTAATTTTCATTCATATATTTTACTCTCTCTTTTTTTATCATTCAAACCAAATGAATAATTTATTAATATAGGAGTATAAGGAATGCTCCTTAAACACAATACAACTCTAAATTCAAGAAATCAGATGCAGACATGTTACATACTCAGAAAGAAATCGAAAAGTTCACAAAGAAGCTTCAGAAAAAAAATGTAAAATCAAATCAAGACATAGCCCTATTCAACAACCTGTAACTTCTCAAATTTTTGTGATGTTGCACAATACTTTCTCTACATTGCACAATATATTCTCTACATTTCATAGGTCTTAATATCTAGTCTTGATAAATGAACCCACAACATGTTGCTTTATTCTTTAACCATACAAAAGATTTTGTCTAAATGGAGTCTAACAATAGCTCCTCATGCCTCAAATTATTCTCAAACACCCTTATATTCCTCTAGTACGAAAGAAACCAAGCAACAACTAAGAAAATGAAAGCACCTAAATCTTTCCCCCGTCCCCCACCTATACCTTGCATCACAGAATCTGCCAATCCAAAAATGTCCTTTGGCAAAACACCTTGCCAACCCCACCATCTCAAAACTTGCATCAACACTAGCCATGCCCCTTTACATTAACAAAAAATATGAGAAAGACGCTCCACTCCCTCATTACAAAACTTACAACCCACTGCCCCTCCAACAAAATCCTCTCAAATATAAATTCTCTTTCGTTGGCAACCTATTCAAAAATAATCGCCATCCAAATATACTCAATTTAGAGGGAACATACTTATACCAAATAACTCTAGTTCACCTTTTATCAAGAATACATTCTACAGGTGTTAAAAAAGCATAAGCATCTTTCATGGAGTATACACCATCACCCTTATAGGATACCAACAAAGGAGAATTTATATTTAAAAGTGGTTTTGTTGGAGGGGCAGTGGCTTGTGAGTTTTGTAATGAGGGAGTGGAGTGTCTTTCTCATATTTTTTGTGAATGTAAGGAGGCATGGCTAGTGTGGATGCACACCATCACCCTTATGAACCCATCTCCGAAAATCAACTTTATCCTTCCTCACCTTGACACCATATATTTTACTCTTTGTTTTGAAATATAAATAGCTTGATTTTTTTTATACGTAAATTTAAGTAATATTTTTTTATAATATATGAAGGATAATTGTGATTTTCTTTTTTCAAATGCATAATTCTTATTAAGTAATTTCTTTTAATCAAAGAAAAGTGTAATTATCATTCATATACTATAAATTTAAAAAAGTATGACTTAAAAATATGTGTAAAAAAGAACGATTTATATTTTGAAATGGAGAGAATATTAAATTTTCATATGAATTAATATTTAAAAAGTCAAAAAATTAAATTAAGATAATTAAAATTGAATAGATGAAGTATTTATTAAAAGGTCTTATATAGCTTGATAATCTAAATAATTCAGTAATAATCTCTTTCTAATAAAAATAAAAAATTTTAAATTTAATTTGTATAATATATAAATAAAATAAATTAAAGATTAAGAGAGAATCATTTTTTTAAAATTAAAAAAAAAAAGAAAAAGAAAAAAGAAGTCATATATAGACTAATGGCCGATATTTTTCTTTTCCATACAACTTCTAATGTGAAAACGTGTTGGAAAACCATGGGGGAATTGGGACGGGAAGAGAGAGAAAAAAAAAGAAGAGAGGAAGGAAGGAAAGGGCCTCTCTTTGGGGTTTATTTGGTTTAATGACCATATTTTTAAAATGAGTTCTTTTTAGAATACATATTAAGAATAAATTTATAGTATTATTTTTTCATTAATTGTTAAAAAGATAAAAATTAACTTTAATTTTGTTAATTGTCTAATTAAAATTATACATGTACGTAATGTTATTGTTATTGAAAATGAAGTTAATTTTTATATTTTTTATATAAATTAATAAAAAATATAATTGATGTACAATTAATTTGTGTTCTTAAAATATATGTTAAACAAACTTTTTTAAAAAGTTTTTTTTTAAATTAAAAAATGCTATATAAAAAATTAATAACTCTTATACTAAAATTTTTTTAAAATTTTCTCATGCATGTTCAAAAAAATTTTTTTTTTTAAATTTTGTTGAAATGATTTACTTTTTCATGTATAGAAAGAAATGAATATTTAAAATGTGGAGGAGAAAAGTTGTCAAGAAAAATATAGAGAAAATCTCTTCCCTACCTCTATTTATTTGAAAGCTGGTTGACAAGAAAATAATTCACGATTTAATTTCACGTGTTACTTAAATTGTTAGTGATAGGTTATGCTTGATTGAGGGAATAGAACTTATATATTTTTTATTTTAATATATTATATAATATATAGAATTAGTATGTATTAATTTT